GAGATCGATCCATCTAGTCGTTCAGGTGGGGGATCAACCCAGCAGGTCGATTAAGTGGGGATCGACCCAGCAAGTCGATCAAGTGGGGATCGACCCAGCAAGTCGATCAAGTGGGGATCGACCCAGCAAGTCGATCAAGTGGGGGATCGACCCAGCAAGTCGATCAAGTGGGGGATCGACCCAGCAAGTCGATCAAGTGGGGGATCGACCCGGCGAGTCGATCAAGTGGGGATCGACCCGGCAAGTCGAGCAAGTGGGGATCGACCCGGCGAGTCGATCAAGTGGGGGATCGAACCGGCAAGTCGATCAAGTGGGGGATTGACCCAGCACGTCGATCAAGTGGGGGATTGACCCAGCACGTCGATCAAGTGGGGGTTCGACCCAGCAAGGCGATCAAGTGGGGGATCTACCCCGCAAGTCGATCAAGTTAGCGGCGAAAATCGTTTGGTGGGATTCTATTACGAATGAAATCTTCGTGCTGAGGCTCATTTGTCCACCCATGCAGTTGTGCTCGCAAGCCTCGACTATGCGAGTTGTCTCTCTCGCCATAGGACTACAGGCCCGAAGCGCAAGGCAAACTAAGATGAAAATTAATTGTTCAAGCATGGCAAAATACTATCTCTCTGGCTTCAGAGAGTGAAGGGAGGAATGACTTCGTTACATGGGACTGACACGCATTCTTAAGCAATCGTTTATGTGTAGAACGCGAGGTAGAAGACAGAGAAAATCGTTATAGAAATGAAATTGGTAGAAGTCAGAACAAGTCATGAACCCATCCTTGGAGTAAAGGAGAAGAAGATGATCATAAGGGTGTCAAGTCTGTTATTTGTTAATACGAGCATAACTGCGTCATCGCAGGCCAGTACCCATAAAGCTGAAAAAGGATACTGTTATTTTTTAATTGCTTAATTATTTGCAGAGCTAAAAATTAATCTTAGACGTAGCACCGCTTTAATAGCCAGGCCTGGCCGTAACATAGCGCTGACAGTGGGCCCACAACGGGCGGGTGGGTGACGCAACGGCGCAGAAGAGGAAGTGGGGGGGGCGAGGTGTTTTCTCGAAAGTTTAACTAATTTCAAATTCGCGTTTTTGCTAGATTTTTGGAAAAAGGGCATCGTAGCGTAAATTCTATTTTAAAAAGGCGTCAAATGCCGTTTACAAATCGAAAATCGGACCATTGATTCAGACGTTATCTGTAATGTAAATTTCCCTGTGATAGTTCTGCGATCTATTGAATTTCCCTACAAGTATTTTTCGGTGCATTTAGCCTTAATATTGTCACTGTCATCTTGATTGAACCGATGCATCGCCATTTCCAACTCGGTTAATTATACCTCAGTTGATCCCTTATTCTTCATAGAAATTTCGTTAGCAGGGGTCCAGAATGGGTGATAGGCTCACCCCCAGCATTAGGTCTTTTGCGATCCCGCCAAACCTCATTCACTTTATTCAAAAGTCCAACATACCTTCTACAGGAAAATGTTTTTTTCTTATAAATTCCCTGGTAGGAGTGAAGATCTTACGATAATTCATAATTATTAAGGATAAAATAGATGTCAAACCCAACCGATTCGTAATTGTAAGTCAAAGCTATGTAATTATTCAGAGCTGTTTCGGGAACAACTTTTTTCATCATCAATGGCACTACAGGAAAATAAGCAAAATAATTATAATTTGCAATAATTATAAGCATAATTATCATATATAACTATGCGAAATATTCATAATAAGCATTTAATTATCATCTGTAATAAAACTACGAAATCAATAATTAAGTACATAAATGTAAATAATATAAAGAGATCGAACGTAAAGAAAACTGGAGAAATTAGATACTTAAATATATGAATTAAACTTATATTATGAATTAAACAGTGGGCTGCATAGTGAAAATATCTCGCCACCATCTGTATAGTACTGAGTAAGGGATGTTCGAGGAAGGAAAATGGATATTCGGGAAGCCAAACAATTAATTGTTTTAATATGGGGTTATTACGAGTTTTAATTAGTTTTAATATTTTATAATTTTATAGCATATAATTCTATATGATATGTTTAATTTTTCTCTCTGTAGTGCTACTGTTGATTGGGAAGAATTGTTCTCGAAACGCGTCTGGATAATGATTTAAAACGAAGTAACTAGAAAACTGTTGTGGCTCATTGCCTTGTTATCCTAATTAATTAATTATTAGGTGCGTGCGTGGCGTGATGAGCAAGGCCGGTGATTGGAGCGTCGCGTGTTGGCGCCTCTGAGGTCGATTCCGCATCGTGAACATTCATCCCCTCGAGAACGTCCACACGAGTGCATCCAGCCCACGTAAACCACACGTTTGTTTAGACTTCCAACATTTACTTCATCCCCATCTCGATCAGGTTTTCGTCCAGTTTCCCTGATCGTCGAGCAAATGCTGAGATAGCCCCTTGTTTTGCTTCTGGAAATAAATGTTACTTCAAGTTAACTTCTCCCCCTAGCACGTCACACACAGATTTTAACTGCTTTTGAAGTAAATAAATAAATAAATTCATTTGTTTGGTTCATTTTTACTGTCTAGCTACCGTTACGCAGTAGAAAGAAAGTTATGTAATGCTGCGCGAGAAAGGGCGATTTTGGGGAAGAAAATCTCTTATTATAGGGAATCAGTAACAAAAAAGTCGATAAATCCAGTTGTTAAACTTAGAAAAAATCTTCTAATACTTGATGTAGCCAGAATCCAGGTTTTGTGGATTCTTGATACCGAAGAATCGATTGACGACGAAACGTCTGTCTGTCTGTGAACAAAGCAAGTGGCTAAACTGTTCAGCCGATTTTCTCTAAAATTGACATTCCTTAGTCAATCTGACTGATGTTGCGTCTCCTCAAATTCAAAATGTTCGAAAAAATGGCCCCATTGTTTTAATTAAATTTTATTGATGGATAGGATAAAGGACGTTTAAGAGAATGATCATTCTCGTTGAAAACTCTCGTTTTTCGGAAATTGTGAAAATTCAAAATCATTTCTGGGTCTTCCCACAACTATAATTAATGAAGATGGAGATTTTTCCCTTAATGAAATATATTCATTAAATATAGATTTTGAAATAAGGTCATGTTCATTTTTTCGTCAATTTGAGAACATTTCGCGTAATTTTGAATGAAAGTGAATGAAAGTGTCGGTGAGAAAGTACGTATTGTTTTAGCTCTACTACGTATCGTAAGTTGTAGTATTTTTTCAAGATTCCAAACTAATATATTTTCAAAATTCAAAGTCATGCGATCGAGTCACATCAGCACGATTCCAGGAAAGCGGTCGACGAGCAACTGTGAGCAGTCGATTGATTTTCTGACACGCCACCTGCTGTGGTCATTAGACCTATTAGTGTGATTAATATTTTATCCCGAAAGGTGGCGGTGATTACTTCCCCACTTCAGATCACTGCCACCTAGCGCGATAAAAACAATCACAACACTTACGGAACTAATGACCTTAGCAGTTGACACGCTCGGATTCAGCAATCGATCAATAAATCTTCAGGTATCTCCCACCAGCGAGGCACCACCCTCGTCAGGACAAGCTTTAAGCTCGCGATCGGTCTCTTGGCATGTATAGTGCATGTTAGTGTACGTGTAAGGCGTGAAATTGGACGAGGAAGAGATCGCGCGAATGATCGCGCGTGGTCCGTGGTCCGTTTGTTAGGGTTCTGTCCCTGCTTTTCGCTGGCGTTGATCGTAGAAATCACGCAAAACTACCGATCAGAATGCTCGTGATGAATGGATGTGAGAGAAGCGCTCTGGCAGGCCAAGTGTACTAGACGCGGTGCAGGGGATATGTCATTCTCGCCCCATGTGTCTCTCTCCCACAGGAGTGGGCAGACTGGGGAATAAAAACGGCCCGCCTAGGAACACTGCTTGCGGACAAACGTCGGATTAACCCAACCTAAAATGTCGAATACATACGTATATACTACATTTAATCTGGTTTATTAAAATAACCAGGGATCCAAGTTCCTGAACTCTAGAAAAGAGCCCAGATTTCACTTTTCCCGAATAAGGCACATATTTTTAAGTGTATTTGACGTTAAGCAAGTAAATAAATGAATAGATAGTTAAATAAATAAGTAAAAAATAAATTTTAAAAGTAAATTGAAACAAATAAGTGAAAATATAAAATAAAAATAAATAAATGGAAATAAATAAATGGAAATAAAGAAATTAAAATAAATAAATTAATTAAAATAAATATATTAATTAAAATTAGCCTATCCAATGGCCGAGATCGCTAAGGCCGAAATGCAGTAGTGGTCTTGGATCGAGTCCGGCCTGAGGCACTGGTTTTGTTGTTTGCGTCTCTGTATGTTGGTGATTGTTTCATCATTATCATCATTTGCATACCTCATTCCGCAGGGCTAGCAACCCTGCGGTGTAAAAATGAACTCAGCAGAAATGCTGATGTCACCTACTAAATTCACGTGCATACCTCCAGGGAAAAAATGTGACTGGTCCTTGAAGGGTATAACTGCATTTTCGCGCGGTCCGTAGAAGGTCAATTCGCGCAATCAAAAAATGAAAATAAATAAATGAAAATAAATAAACGAAATTAATAAATAAAATAAATAAATAAATGAAAATAAATAAATGAAAAAATAAATGAAAAAGAATAAATGAAAGAAATAAATGACGAGAAATAAATGACGAGAAATAAATGACGAGAAATAAATGACGAGAAATAAATGACCCGAAGAAATAAATACGAGAATAAATAGACCGAGAAATAAATGACCGAAGAGAAATAATGACAGAGAGAAATAAAATGACGAGAAAATAAAATGACGAAAATTAAATGACGAGATATAAATGACGAGATATAAATGACGAGATATAAATGACGAGATATAAATCACAAAGTATAAATGACGAGATATAAATCACAAAGTATAAATGACGAGATATAAATCACAAAGTATAAATGACAAGATATAAATGACAAGAAGTAAGTAAATAAACATCTGTGGCGGGGCCTGACCTGCGCAGTGGCCGCCAGTAGCAGCAGCAGCGTCGCCGCCAGCAGCGCGTCCCTCCCTCGCGCCATCTGCGCCTGCACCTCGCCCCGCCTCTCCTCTCCTCTCCTCTCCTCTCCCCTCCTCTTCCGCCGGAAGCTCCTCCCAGCTGGCCGCAGCTCTTCCGGCCGCCTCGCGTGCAGCGCGCCGCGCGGACCCGCGGGGAACCACTCGCTGGCCCTGCGAAATGAAACAAGCACTTACTAATACTGCCAATATCAATAACAATACCTACCTATAGCAATACCAATACTCAACAATAGTACCAATCCCAACTATACTACCGATACCAATACCCTACTGTACTACCAATACCAATACCCTACTGTACTACCAATACCAATACCCTACTGTACTACAAACTTACTTACTTACTACCTTACTTTACAGAGTGGACCACCAAAGTTGGCCACAGCAAATATCTTGAACACGGTGTGAGGTATCGAGATGTTGTATGCGCCGTGTTGTTGCAGATGATGAGGCAAACAAAATGTTTTTTCAGTACCGCATGTAATTTTAAAGATATTGTCACGACTTTGGTTTTTAAATGGAAATATGTATTTTTTCTACACAATTCTAAAGTTCTTTGAAAATAAAATTGAATGATATAAATATTGTTAATATTTGATAAGTATATTTTGCAAAAACAGTGCAATTAGGACTTGATGAACGGTATGCCGCAGGGCGAAAGGACAATTTTAAACAATCTTTCTATCATTGCATTTAATTTTTAAAGAACTTTTGAATGATGTACAAAACAATCTAGAAAGAAAACAGAGTCATTCTTTACTTTTTTTATTTCTTTCAAAATCCTAGGTATCTAACGAAACCACGTTGTAACGAGTCAAAATGCAGTGTATATTTTACATCGAGAAGGCGTTTATTTACACGACCTCCTTGGGAGGAAATACAGGTTGGCAATGGTTTAGATACCAAGGAGATAGTGAAGGTACAAAGAAGATCGAAAATAAACAACCAAAAAAGAGGTAGACGTCTTGGAAAGCAGACGAAAGTTTGACGTCTTGAAGTATAGACGAGATGTGACCGTGTTGAAAGGGCTTTTGGTATTGTATAGTTTAATTAAAAATTGTTGTGTAAAGTTTATTTTTTCGTTATTATTGTTGAAAATAAATGTTTCCCTTTTATTTTGAAATTGGATGCGTAAAATTGAATAAGTCCGAAGTTGCCATATTTCAAATCTAAGGTGTATGCTGTAGAATCATAAGCCCCTTAAAATAAAATAAATGCATACTTTTATTTTTCTCCCCATGAAGTTAATTCATTAAATGGAAAAATAAGAACCATCACAATATATACCTCTCATATTTCTGGATTTTGCATAGTTTTCTTTCAATTTCTGTGCAATGGTAATTAATAATAAAGGTAGCATTATAAATGTCGCATTAATTTATCTCATGAAAAAACATTACTGCGCAAACAGCAAAAGGAACTAGTGCTGTAACGAGTAATAGGAAAGGATGGTTTTTGATAAGATATTTTTTGATAAACATTGATGACATTTTAAAGGTTAAAAGGATGACTTTTTGAGGACAATTCTTTTCCCATCTTCAGGGCATTTGTAAATATATCTACGTAAGAAAACGTACCAAATACGCTCCTCTGCACGCTTACTGTAGTTGAAACATTTTACTGGCTTAGGTGGCCCAGGGTATCAATAGATCTCACTGCTGTGTGTTTGCCTGAGAGGTAACAGGGTTCCAGTTCCGGTAGGGTTATCTAAATCGCTAGGTCGAGTTTCGCCTCTGTAACTTTTTGGAGTACAGACGAAAGTTTGACGTTTTGATGTATAGACGAAAGGCATATGTGTTGAAGTACAGAAGAGAGGTAGAGGTACCAACACTCACCAAAACTGGTGACGTCTGTTGGACTGTGTACAATATTGTACAACCAACAAATTTAAACTGATAGCGGCAGGCAGACCGGATATTGTTATCCGGTATTTGAAGAAAACTTAATGTCTACTTGTAGATGTTCCTGAAGCGTGCGATCTAAACTTCGTAACCAATGAGGCAGAGAATCGTTTCAAATACAAGAGTTCGAAAATCGAGATCATCCGAATGTGTCTAAAAGCACAGATCGTCCCGATAGTCATCGGAGCTCCGTAATTTGTTCCGCAAAATGTGTGTAAGAACTTGGTTAAATTCCCAGGTCATTCAAAAGACTGGGAAGTGCAAGACACTGCTTTATTGGGAACAGCCCACATTTTGCGCAAAGTGTTGTAGTGGCACCGATAGTCCCTTGATCTTCTCCTTAGGAAGCTGATTACAACTCGGAGTATATTTTATATTCGACCGACTCATAAAACCTTAGTCGTAAATTATAATAATAATAATAATAATAATAATAATAATAATAATAATAATAATAATAATAATAATAATGCGTTTGTACTATATTTTGTGATATATTTCGTTTGCCACTAGATTATGATCTCTAAACCTAACACTCAAGGCTACCACACGTTTTGTTAGCATATTTTCATTAGCATTATGTGTCAGGTACTGTTGTTAACATCATAAAACCAAATCTGTATCATTTTATTTAATGATATAATGCATATATCTATAAGTCAACTTCATGAAAATGTATGTGGTCACTATCAACCACAGAGGTCGAAGTGACCTTAACAAAAACATTTAAAACGCGCTTTTTTGTTAGTTCTTTTTTGTTTTTCTGTGTGAGGGTTTCCGCCGCCTTGGAATGGCGGAAGTGACCATTTCCGCCGCACGGCACAAGTCTCTAAAATACTCACGAGAAGGATATAGCATAGCGGAAACCAGACAGTAACTAGGTTTCGTCCACAGCCTCCAATCAGTGTGCTGTTGTGTTTTGGAAAACTTAGAACACAAATATTTCTGGTTGTATCAATTACAATACTACCATATTTGTACTACATTATTTAGCATACGTTGTTTATTGCGAGCGAAGGCTTCCGCGGCCGGAGTCAGTATTTACTTGGCTGTCCGGGTCACACCGCTTCCAGGGCGCAGGTGATAACGTTTCGGTCGCCATTCTGCGACCTTCGTCAGGGCGTAGTTATTGGCAATAGTTTATAGTAAGATTGGCTATAGCCACGTAAGTAGTTTTGTTTATTGAATAGTCAAACTGCATGTTTTGAAGTTAATACGGAAATGTAAAAAATGTGTAATCGGCAAAGCAATCTGATTGCCAATGACAAGACTTTTTTCAGTTTCTCGCATGCTACGTATTACATAGCAAAGGCAAAATGTTGTAATGTCTCAGAGGAATTTTTAGACAGAAAAACTCAAATTGTACGTCCATGATATCAAAAAAGGAGATAAAAATCTTGCTTCTGTGTTTAGTAAATTACTTCTTCTAGTACAGGGGTTCTGCAAACTTTCTTCTACTGGGGGTCGGATAGGAAGTTTTTGAGAGCCTCGAGGGCCAAAAAGTAAAATTCATGATAGGATAAAATTTATCGCCTATTTGTTAAATTAAATTTCAACTAAAGAACGAGAAAACAGTTAACAATTCACAAATTAATTCGTAAAAACATATGGGTATATGAGCACAAATTCTATACATAATATTTGTAATAATTACATCACAATTTTAAACTTTGAAAATTTACTTTCAGGCACTTCTGTTTTAATTCACAGAAATGATAATTTTAAATCGTATCTAAATGATAGTTGTGAAATTGATTTTAGACCCAAACAATAAGTTAATATGTTACTCAATTTTTGTTCCACCTATTATTAAAAAGTCTCTCAAATGTTCATATCCTAAGTTATATCTGTACTTAAGTCATTACATACTTCATTTTCGTGAAACATTGTTTACATCTATGACTTGTGCCAAATACTGTTAAGAAAATTGTGGAAAATTTTTAGATAAAGATTTATTTGCAGAAGTTGTTTGTAGATGCTCTCAAAAATTTTAAACAAATCTTGGTAGAAATTGGTACTCATATATTTTATGTGCACTATATGTTTCTGATTCCATTACCTTCATAACTTTTTTTGAAAATCAAGTGATGTATTTTCAGGAATAAATTGCAGATAACAACCGTGAGAAAGGTGATGCGGTTTTTTTTAGCAAAACGGATTATCTTTATGTGTTTTGTAACTACCCCTCCGCGCACTATTTTGCAGAAACTTGACCGCAACTTCAAAAAATCTCCAACCTCCTCCCCACAAGCAAAAATCATATTTACTTTCGTCTTTATGACTTATGAGGTGTGCGTGTCTGTGCTGCGATGTGTTTTGCAGAAATGCCAATGAGAAGTTTTTGACATTATTCATGGATGTAATAATGGAAATCATCTGTGTTAACTTAGATTTTATCGCCGAGCTGCCTGGAGGAGAATTCCAGCGGCCGGCTGCTCTGATCGGTAGTTTCCCGCAGTTTCTCCGATCGAAACCAGGCGAATGCCGGAGCTGTACAAACAGGCCACGGACCTCACGCGAACTTTCCTTCCTATGCCTTGTCCTCTTCTCATCCCCTTACATACAAGCATGCACTACACTATCAGATATATCGGAAACCGGTCGGGAGCCTGTCCCGGCTGGCGTGGTGCGCCGCTTGTGGGAGATACCTGGTCGGGGAAAACCCCGCTGGCCGACGGACGATCTCGCCATTCAGCCGAGGAACAGCCACCGTACAAGGAAACATGCACTACACTTACGGAAATAAGACCTTCGTCGCTGACGCGCACGGAATCATCATCAATCCATTAATTAGAGATCCAACTTTCGGCGTATGTCTAATGGTGGCTCAAAACCGTCGGAATCCTGACAACTTAATAAATCTTTGTTGACCACGATGACTTCCGTTATTTCATCCTAAGTATTGTTTACCTGGAAAGGTGAACTATGGAAGTTTCCGAATCTACGCAAATCATTACTTTCATCTAAATCACTACTTTTTACCCAGCGACTACTTTCTCTGGGTAAAAACAAATGTATTAAATTATTATTTTCTTTTCGGTCTGTGGATTTAACAACTTTGTCACACTGTATTTGGTCTTTATTTGTAATGACGTTGCTATTTATTAACTACATATTTTAATATATTGGAAACATTTTATTTTTTTCTGTGAAATTGCTATGCACAATTCAATTTTTGGCCTGTAGGATAAAGACCAACTAGAATGCGACAAAGTTGTTAGAACGAAAAACGTACAGACTCCACGTGAGTGGCCT